TAGACACAGACACGTGGTGGGTTGCTTACAGTGCTGTGCCGGCGTCAAATCGATGCAACTCTGGACCCGCCTTTTCGGGCGGCTTCGGTGCCTGCCGAAAAGGCGGGAGAGCTTTCGCCTAATGCCTTTGCCGACGCCACCTGATTTTCTTTGACAACTCGCTGAAATGAGAAGGCTGAGTGAGACGCACGCCACATGGGCCACGGTGTGGCTTGCCTCAATCACAAGTGGTTAGCCTGGCGATCCAGGTTGGCATTGCGCGTAACAGTGCTTCGTCAGTGACGAGGTCAAGCTCGGATCCTCACGACGCAAATTCTACCCCACACTGGTGGTTATCAAGGGAGATTAGGAGCGAATTGCATTTGCAACGCGGCCGCCGTGTTACGTCAGTGATTTAAAACGAGTCAACTATGAGATTACAAGCATACCAAGAAGCGACAGCATTGGTACAACGACTGATTTACGGTTGGGACGTTTCACTCCCTGGGACACCTCAAAATCCTTACAAAAGGGGGGCCTCAACGAAGAGTTAAAAGGACAAAGGTTTCCAAAACTTTGAGATGGCATTGCAGGAGACGCAGTGCCACCGTCATTATGCGCTACCGATTGCAGACGGAGTATTCCCCACTGCCTAAAACCCAAATGTAACAATTCCACTTGCTCCTCGACATGTGCAGCAGTGCAGTTTTCACATTGAATTCGAAGGTCCAGAGTTCTGCCCTCGCAACCACTCCTCTGGGTCAGGTAAACGGGTCAGTTTGAGTCTTTTCCTGAGAAACCAATCAACACCACGACATGGATCTGCACATCCCCACCTCTGGCTACCGCTAGGATAGAAATTCCGCGTCAACCCTTGCTTACACGCGACTTCACTGGTCAAAGATGCTGATGGCGTAGCTGAGTGTGCCAGAGGAAACACCTCAACTGCTAGGCTGACCAATCTTGGCCGACTTTTGTTTCACAGTCTAAACAGCAAGATACGACCAATCAACACTGACTTCTGAATATACCAGGTGCCTCGGCAACAGGATCGTTAGAAACGTAACCACAGACGTGGTCTTTGGTTTGCTCTCAACGAACCGACTCACTGAATACGCGCTAAACCAAAATGTAGGGGGAAATAGCACACTTCGACGATGACAACGACTTACCCATAGAATTTTGGTCTACACGACACCCATCGGGGCTAAAGAGGAAAAATGCAGGAAGGCAATTAAAGACGTCCTTGCGGTGCGTGATTGAATGTGTGTAAAATGCTAAATCGAGGTTTCTTTCTTGAACTACTTTCAAACTGACAATATGGTGGACTTTGCTGGAAGAGGAGGACACTGTGATGGGGGTTTGTCATTCGAAACAACATGCTACCGGAGAAATAAGAAAGTACACACAACGTGGGGTGGCATGGATCGAAGAGACTTCGGGGGTTACAAGATGTACGCGAGATCAGAGTGACCAGACACGAGACTGAATTAGAGCAGCGAAAGATGACGGCAGAGGTGATGCCTACCTTGAGCGCCGGGAGCGAATTTTGTGACTTAGTTCGCTCAAGTTGGCCGTGCTCTTTGATATTCTGTCGCGGATGTGCCTGGCTACTGTCCTTCGTCGACTCTTGCCTAAAAGAGGGATGCAACGGCAATCAATACAACAGTGGGGGGGGCCTTATTTGTGTTAAACTGCGCAAGCCAGGGAGGCGCTACATCTTAAAGCAATCCAGGAATGCACACACGAGCCATTTAAAGAAAGAATTGTGTCTTGACAAGTGGAAACGCGGTGAGAAGCTTGCGTTAGGTAATGCAGTAACCCTAAACTAACCTAAGGGTACACACACACACACACACACACAAGTAATGCCGTTAAGGATGATAAGACTGGATGGATCGACACAGAAAACGATCAGCAAACAAGCCGTAGAGAACTGCATTACGGGAAACAGGCCACATTAGGATGGCAATTAGATTTTGGTAGACGTTCAGACCTCTGCAGGCCCTACCAACACATCAGAAACTAAGGCGGAACCCACACTTGTCTGGAAAGTTTGCTTCTAAGTAAAGGGGCTCCAGACAGCAGAGCGAAAGGACATAAAAACAGGTCGGAAAGGTAAGGTCTTGGAACAACAGAAGACAGCTCGTCAGTACGGCTCATAATGCTGTTGAGGTAGGTTATGAGGAAACAGGGCGCTAGAGTGGACATGGAAACTATGAAGCTAACAACATGACGCGCTACACCAACTTCCAACGTGGGTGATGTGAAGCGCGATCAGACGGTTTTTTTTAGGGTGAATAAGGCGACCGCGGCAGTGGACACGTAGCAGTAACAACGCAGCAGGTTGTTTGGACAGTTGATAGAATCTACAGAATAGCCAGCGAAGAAACATGGAATTAACGTGCACTACTTTGCGGCAAAGTCGGCGAAACCTGACCTCCAAGGACTTGGACGCCCCAAGCACGACCGGCGTCTTGGCAGGGATTTTCAACCAATGAACAGGGGCCCTCCGGACACCGGGCGCCATGATTGGGCGTGCGGCAATGCAAACAGACTTTCTACGCTGTGTGTTGATGTGCAGTAGAGAGTCTAGTTTCAGCAAGAAACCAATCCTAACTAAACAGCACATTGAAAAGTGTCCGGCCTTGGTGGTAGCTGAATAGTCTACGTGTGGAGAACGAGCGGACCTCTCAAATGTGACCGACTAGCCAGTTGGTGGAATACTGAAGCGGTGAAATATCCTGTGATTCGGACATGGACTCAGATACGAAGAGGTCGCATGGAGTAGGATGCGCTAGAAGGACTGAAAAAAGAACCGCCTTGCAGATCGTTAAGACAGCCTTCTGAGCTCCTAAACGTTATACGGGACTTGCCTGGCGTTACCTCCTCAGACCCTGGTGGGGTAAATTGCCCAAAATCTCCTCGCCAATAAAATGTGAAGGCCAGTTTTTTTGCATATGAAGGTTCAGACGATAAAAATTGGGTTCAATGCTGTGCGGAAAGAGTTATCATGTGCTTAGCGTAATTTTGCATTCTGCCTTCAAGCCCTTGGTAACTGTTTATTCCAACCAATCGGAAAGAGGCAGGGGTACAAATCGACGAACATTTTACACCTCTCGGTTTCTAGTAGATGTGGTTTTGGGTGTTGTACAAGTCCAACTACGAAAACAAGCCTACATGTTCTTTGAAGACACGAAAGTTGTCGAACATAGAGTTCTTGGAATGATTGGTTGGAGCGTTAGTTGTGCTAAACACATCTGGTCAGGAATTGGTGCTATTCTTCCGAAATGAAACCCAATGCACAGATGCTACACGCCTTCCCATGTCAGGGAGGTTGAAAACAAAATCACAACGGACCCGAAAAGGTGGGTTTTCAGGCCCCACCCACAAACTCAGAAGTTTGGTGTTTGAATCAGGACCGACGCGAAGCCAGACAGTGCCGATAAACGGACTGAGAGAGAGCGAGAGAGAAAACGCTTGCCGAGAGTCGACAAACCGGGCTGCATGAGAAAGTTTTGCGCCGAGTCTGCAGACCAGTTACACGACAGACACTTGTTCCGTGGGAAAGTGTGCATTTTAAACCTCTACAAATTGGGTTTCTCGGGTAACTAGAAGCTAGATTACTGGCGAAAAAGACAGGAACACACAAAACAGGACCAAAAGTAAACCCGAAATGTACTGTAGACACGCATAGTTGAGTTTCTGTCCGCAATTTAACCCCGATGGGGTGAGCGGCAGCAGCCTTATTAGTGCCAAGGTGTGGTGGCACACACGCCTCGTAGTTAATAGCAACCACCAACAATGCGCTAACATGGCACATGCATAAATTAGGACAAAGGAATTCCCACCAAAGCGCATTACCTGACATGAAAGCGAAATATATTTGAGTGCAAAACGTTTTTTTCTTGGATAAATGGCCATGAATTGACAAAATGAAGGTGGCATGTTCCAGGGTGGGGCACCGAGGCTGTTATGAGTATCGATTTGTGCTCTCCAAAGGAGAGAGAGAGAGAGCACAGCAAAAATTAGGTGTGCTGAGTAGATAAGGCCTAGAACAGCTCACTTGAGGATTAGCGATGAACCGTAATCCGGTGACCTATTCCCGGTTAATCTATCAGAAGGCAGATTTCGGTGGGTGATTTGCAGTGGCTGTGTGATGTGCGGGGCAACCGAAATTATGCATGCGCTTGCACGAAAGCGACGTTGGCACTTGTGCCAAAAATAACGCCACTGAGAATTAAGCCTTTCGTGCCGCTACTGCCTGGCTAATCGGACAACGGCACACCAGGGTTCCGCCCACAGTTTGACGGTGGGAAAACGCAGCCTTCATGGGGCTTGCGGTGCTGGACATTGCGACCGGGTTCGAACCCTGAATAGATTAATTGGGGATTTTGGTGAGCAAGCGCACCAGAGAACGTAAACAAGGCATGATTGATGCGCCCTTAAAACGACTTAACCACCAGGCTACGCACACAGGACTGCGCCAACGCCAAACACGTCTGGTACCGAGTTGTTTACCTGTTCCTCTCGCATTACCACAATGCACCAGGCAAGAGACAGTCAAACACACTCAACGCGAAAACAACTAAAAGGTCTATCAAACCACCTCAGGCTGAGAGCAGACAAGCATCGCTTAAATGAGGGTATCAACACTGCATCTCAAAGTGCAGTGACCGTTTAACCAATCATTTTACCACCTTGGTCATTGAGTAGCACTTTAAAGTGGCGTCTACTTAAACTAAGCGTGGTGCAAGGCATTATGGCTCACACGTCAGCATATGCACTTATTTCTGCCAGGTTTGTACATTTTCCCCGCTTTGGCAAGCACTGCAAGCCGCGGCATGCGTTGTAATGGCAGTTTGTGTCATTTAGCAAGACAAGTGTCATCCTCTGGGACGGAATTGGCAGGAAATCTATGTGCTTTTACTATCAGAGCTGGCACATGTACACTGACACAAGCCAGTGGACTAATGAATCAATGCACTCGGCGGACATCAATACGATCCCGGACGAATGAAAGTACTTTAATGGGTTGGGTGAGACGTTCTTTGAGAAAATCACGGTGTTGACTAGATCACCTACGATATTTACGACGCGCGTGAAGTGGAAATTATCAGAGAAGCATTTAAAAGGTCGACCCGGGATCCAAACTTCGCGGGCAGGAACGTTGTCAAGTTGCCCTATGCCGCAAAGAATAGATCCCTGGGGACCGGTGAGGCCAGAAACCTGCGACAAGCATTTGAGTTCTCGGTGGTTGGGTGTAAGTGGGTCTTAAAAGGCGACGCCCTGCTTAAAACACAGCGTGGTTTCTTTTCAAAGAAATTTTTATGTTGGTTTTTGGCGCCTTATCCACAGGACCAAGTTATTTTACGGAGAACAAAGCAGATGAGAGATTATGCTCTTTCGATTGACAAAATTTGGACGTTTGGATTGGATTTCAACATGTCAAATGCGGCAATTCGGGCTTTCCCGTATATTCTGATCCTGCACTTTCATGCGTTTGTAGTGAATCGTGTGGATTCACGTCCAATAACCCTTCCAGCACACGTCCCCCCTTTTCACGTGGGACCGCTGGTTCATTACCCCTCTGAATGTACCACCACCTTCCGCTTTGGCCATGTGATCTCGCAGACACCTGTGCTTATATTTGCACATGTCCACTCAACTGTAAAAGTACACGACACAACTTGGTTGAGCGGTCTAGTAAACGGTTGTGCCGTCCCCACTCCGGTCTTCGATATTTTCGCGGGAACACAGGGTAACGTATTCGGCGTAGATTGTCGCAGTGGCCCCGGCGTGGTTCAAGACAACATGCCGGGACCCTCAACACGTTCAGTTTCTTTGTCTTATGTCATTGCACGCAAATCGATTTTTATCTACACTTATGACTTGATCCAAAATAGAATCGTTTCGTTGACTGCCTGTGGAACCGTGGTTTAGTTCATTCCGTTCTAGCAAAACGTCCGAAATTACATATATGGAGTTTCGAGGTGTATCCAGTCAAATTGTCGACACGCAGGCTCTCAAGAGGCAATTTAGCGGAAACACCTCCAGTACAACTTGCCAAATCAAGGATAAAGTCATCATCAATGAGAGAGGGCTGTCGACTAAGCCACGTTTCATTGTCCTTATAAGAGAGGCACCTACACAGTCAAAAGTGCACGCTTCTACCACCTGGGACAATGGACCACAAACTACCACGTCCATTTTCTGAAGGCACCTACCGGGAGCGGTGGATTGAAGCAATTCTACCGGCGACTAGCCCGGCTCCAAGTCCGTCATTGCCCGCTTTACCCCCATCACACCGGTTTTAGCAACAAAGAAAGCAGTGGCCTTGATCACAGGTCGTGATGACGGAGTCGAGCACAAGTTGCCACTGGCGCACGTGACGCAGACGCCCACGGCGTTGGGGGAGCAACACAACAGGCAACACCGTTACAACAACAACAGCCTCTCGGTTGTGCTGCATGAAATTAAACTAAGCGTTTGAGAGGCGTAGATGAGTGATAAGTTAATAAGTGAGCCATAACGGGAGGAGAAATTAGGAGTAATGAAGCAGGACATTAAAACACTCTGAGCAGTAATACTTCACAGCACAGGACAGACAGGGGTCTACTAAATTAGCGCCATCATAAATAAAAAATCCACTGGCATGTTAGGATGATAATTTTGCAAATTAAACAACTCAACGTGCAAACGTGAAAGGGATTAGGGAGGAACTGACTTACCGCCGGTATTAGCACCAGTGGTCGAGCTCGCATCAGCAGCAGCAGCAGTCGGCAGGAAGTCATGTGTGCCATCGGCGTTGTTTACGGAGAAGAGCGAGGGCGTGCGTTCTAAAGTCCTGTTTCGCGGGTAGTTCTCGTCCTCCTCCTCGTCGGGAGCCGCAAGCGGGTTGTAGGAGGTTGGCACAGGTGGAGCTGGACGCCTCGGGCTACTGCCACTCCCAGCGTCATTCAGATTCGACTCGGTTGCGATCTCAGAAGCCGCCCAACCCATCGGTCCAAGGCCAGGGTGGGAGGAGATGATGGAGGGGGGACGGTTGGAGCCACCCATCACCACGGAGCCCTCGCGGCTATTTTCGACTGCGGGCGAGTGGTCGTCGCTGTTGGTGTAGCGTTGGACGTGTGAACTGGGCGACTTGTGCCCCACGCGTTGCTTGATGTCGCGTATTTTGGCACCGAGACGTGAGTGGGAGTCGGCCCCACCGCCGTGTTCATTCCTGGAGGGGGTGCTGAAAAAGAGAATGCGTGAATGATGAATCGAAGGAAAAGTGGAACGACACACGACACCTCAACACATCAATGTACTCACTGAGGCTTCAGGGTTGAGCCAAGATGAGAGAGTGATTCCCTAAATGACCGAGCGTGCCCCAGACTCTTGACTGGCGGCGCAACCGTGCCCTCTGGCCAATAGTCGACAATCCAAATCCAGAAACTGAGGTAGCCACAGGGATTGGAGTTGTGCTTGGTCGGTTCAAGTTCTCGCACGTGGAGTTGGGAGGTCACAAGCGAGGGAGGGGGACCAGGTGGGATTTCAGCGAGCGGAATGATGACTTGTCCCACGTGTCGTTCTTTACCATCAACCACTAACATACTCACTGCGTCCGTGGGTTTGGGAGTCACGCTAAACGAAAACAGGAAGCAGAGTTAGTGACTCTTAAGCAAGACCACGGCAACTAGGTGAGTATAATTCGATAGTACGTTCACATGGAGCTTTTATGCAAATGAGGACTTTGATTCTAGATGCTAGCACGAGATACTATTATTAACAGCTATCTAGAGTAGGCTGTAATCTAGATTGGCGGCAAAGACCGTATACATTTGCATACCAGGCAAGTTAGTAGTGCGACTGGAAATCTTATTACAAAGCATTAAAAAACCATATTTACTAAGAGATGCTAAAAAAATCACATCGCCGCTCAAAAAACAAACTGGATGAAAGGGAGGAATTAAAGCGTTCTGGGGATCAGTGAAAGGAGTCCGAGAGTGGAACAGAGCAAGTATCAGTACCTCAACAAATTTCGACTTTTGCCTGGGGCCCTTTTACCTCCGATCAAACGACACCACAAGGTGAAACACGTGAACTGAAGAACGAAGACAACATGAGGGTGATGACGCACTGAGTAGTTTTGTCAAGTGTGCACAAATAGCATTTGAGCACACACAACAGTCCTGCACTTGAGTCATATGATCACCAACTGCGCTACTTTCATACCCTTGCTTAGAGATTTAAACAAACTAGAACGACGTGTACCCAAAGTATTCACTGTGCCCCGAGTATACACTTTTGTGTGATTACTAGCAGTCTATCCACATTGACCATAATGTATCAGACATGTAGCCAGGAACTGTCAACGTAAGCTTGACACATGCAATTTTTTTGGGTTTAATTTGAAGCGCATGACAATTAATACCTTTTTGAGCGAAATTGGCATTTGACAAGTGATTAGCTTCGTTGCTGATTGTGGCCACTTTAATCATAAAGCTTAACAAGGGTGAATCCAAATTGAACGGCATTATACGAGACATGACGAAAAACAACCAGTCTCATGTATGTCTTTTTGTGTGAGAGAAAATTAGGAGAAAGTAATGATTATAAATCAATTCACAACAAAATCATTACATCCACAAGGTTCCCTGGAGACAAGCTGAATAGGATCAACCCGAAAAAATTTGATCTAGCGCTAAAAACTCGTCGTGTATAACGCAAGGACAACAGTCTTGAAATAGAAAATGAAGTGCCACACACAAAGAAAATTTACGAATATAGACTTCTGGCATTACACAAACCCACAAAGTGCAAAATGGACCCCAGAGCTTTCAAAACTGGTAGCCATATAATCATAAATGTAGCTACATCGTTCTCTAGTAGTGCAAAAAGGGGTTACCATAGCATTTAGTACGTGGAAACCAAACACCAACACAAGAATTTAGGTATTGGTAAACAGACACAATACACTACCGCTAATATACAAATAATAGATCCAAAACCAATTTTTTTCGATATTATAACTAGACAAGCAATAAAAAACAAGTGTAACGTGAAGTGCAAAAAAAGCTTACATCAAAACTTCACAATCCCATCGAGGAAAGCCATCCTGTTCATCAACGATCCCAGTGGCCTGTTTCTTTTCTCCGCCGATAAATATTACTCGCCATCGGCGGGTTTGAGGAGCTGCAGAGAAAAAATAAATTTTACTGCACTATTAAGATGAACCACAAGTTGCACTTGTAAATTTTGGACAATTCTTTCACTTTAATCTGTGATACTTAATTTGTTATGAAAAGCATAATTTATTTTTAAAAAAAACAACATATTTTAAGGAGAAAGATTGGGCTATTTCCGTTGTCAGATTTACACACATGAAAAGAGGAAATCGAGGCCAACTGTATTAAGCAAATATTTAAAAAAGAACCGTAAAATTTACTCTTTTTACTTCCTGCGACGCGATAATCCAGATTCCTTCCATCGTGAACTAAGAAATAAAACGAAATGAACATAGGTAATTCCACGGTGAAGTAATGTTTTTAGCATAGATAGTAATACTCACCAACGATTTTGATAGAACGCGGAAGCCGCGCCATTTATAATCTACATAACAGAAGTGTTTTAGTATTAGGAGACTGGGACCGTAAGTTAAAAAATAAAATGTAATTTTTTGTCGAACCGGCTTGACATTACACCTAATTTATATACAAATCTTTACATCAAAAGGTGACAAATGAAGCCACTAACCAGCACTACATATTGTGTTTCGAATTATCCGTTCAAAGTGCACTGAAAATAATCTTCCACAATCAAAACAGAGTAAAAAAAGTTAACACAAAAATAGGCCTTGGTAGTAAGCACCTGAACCTTATGAGCAAATAATCTGGTAGCAAAAAAAGAAAACACTGTATGTTGTAAAAAAGATGTGGAAAATCAGGACCTCCTAGAAAGCACTCGAGTTGAAATCCACCCACGAGTTTGAAATTCCCCGTAGTAATAAATCGGAAGGACAGAAGCATCGTGATTTAATTAAAGTATAAAATTTAACTCCTGGAAAATACTGTTGCTTTTAATAATACATTATAAAAAAAATAAAATTTTGTTTAAAAATTCAATGATCTTTAAATGTTATTGTGTGGTTCAAGAGACAGTTTGAGGATAAGGTTGCACTTTAATGAACATTGGTAAACGTGAGTAGCAATGGACACAATACTTAACCTCGTGGTGTTTGAAGAGCTCTTCCAATATCAATACCTAAGGCTAATATTTGGCTTAATTATAGCATAATCCTTTTTACGGCACGGACGTTTTACTGATATTTTCACTGCTATCAAAATAGGCATTTGCTTCGTGTTGGTGAATCACATTTTTTTAGTGGAATCCCCCTGCGCTACCTCCACTTTTATCCAAATTCTAAGTAGCACTGAAGCTTTTCAAATCGTGTTGCAAGGGCATTGCTGATACCATGATTTTAAATGGTAAAGATTTCACAATAAAAAAGCTCAAGCTGAAAATTCTCAACCAAAAATAACAACTTGAGAATGACTTACAAGTAGCTTTCCACATAGTATATAGCTATCTTACCTCAGTTGCTAAATCACAAATGTTTTTAAATCGCCACAATTGTACTCATTGGTGTTTTAATTTATCTACAGTACATTGTTTTTTGTAACTTTTAGCTCTAGTTCCAGTTCCTGCAACAAATGATATAGCTGCTGTCCTTGTTAAAAATATTCTAGCGTACATAGATTTTTTTACACCGCCTTTTTCTGGTTGTTTTCAAGATATGTGTCCAATATGCCCATTTTACTTCCAATTTTGATTGTTCTCTTGCGAAATTTCACGTGGCTCTTTCCACTTTCTAAATAAGTAAACAAGTCCGTGGAAAACTTCTGTAACCTAATTAATCAGGCTGTTTTTTCACAAAAAATTATATTGACTATCCAAATATTCTTTTACAAATATCAAGTGTCATTATTTTAAGGAAAAAAAATTGCACACTTTCGATTCCCTTGCTTAATTGAATAGCTACCAGAGAAAACGAGTATAATTTGGATGTTTGACTTTAAATGCTTGAAAGTATGGCAAAAGTCATTTTGAGATTTTAAAATGTTTTGCGGTTTTTGAGGTATGAAATTTTTTATTTCTAGAGTAGGCATTTAGTCACCAGGTGTAAAGTTTACAACCCTCTAGCTAACAACCCTTTACAACCCGAGAAAATGGGGATAGAGGCGACAGAGAACACGACCGTTTTTTAGTGTCACCCCAGCCAAATGGTTTTGTGTGCGTGTGAGTAACAGGCGAATGCCAACAGAAACCAATAACAGAAGAGGTTTGTCATTTGTACACTCGGGCCACCGTACACTCTGTCTGTCCACTTCAAGTTGAACAACACGTATGTAGAATAGGCAAACTAGTAACTACAAGTAAAAAAATAGCATCATTGTGGCAAAAACCAGTCTTTCATAGGAAATCTAACCCCTTCATTTCGCCGAAATTTGCTCCTGAATAATTCTGCGTCTAAGACGCTGTGAAAATCAACCATTTTGATCGACGAATCGTTATTTCATGGTGCACTATGTCCAGAAACATGAAAAAGTATGTTGCACCGTCCTTTACTCCTTCCACAACCCGAAAAACTCAATAATGGATTGTGATTGACTCATAGCGACGTTCGAAAACCTGACGCAGCGACCTGCGATAAGCTCAATTTGTATAATCATGTAAATGGCAAGATTAGCCATTCCGGAGAAAACACCCTTTCTACAAAGGATCAGGTACCCAGATATTTGCCCAGATTTTCTAACCTGTTGGTGAAATTGCGTTTATTTTAGTCAAATCGATACTATCTGCTTATAAGCAGTTCTAACACCCGTTCCTGATGAGCCCAACTAAACAGTATCTGGGGAACCAGCATACCTAAGACTATGTCTTACAAGATTTTCACACTTTTCTCCTTTTCATTACCATTCGTGTTTATCCACACCAACCTTCGTACACATATTCCCCTTTTCCCTCCTATTGACCCATTTACCTTTGAGTGTACCAACTCTCCTACCCGCAATCAAGGCCACCGAGACTACATATAAGTAGGCGCACTTGGACGTGAGCTTTGTGACGCGCGCCATTCGACCCACGCACGCCGGTCTGGCCTGTTCTTTGTCCTCCTCTCTCTTCCCGCACTCTAGCCTTCCTCAAGGCACGCCCGTGAGTCCAAGGGCGACACCAACCCTCCTCACGGCCATCCCTTTCCCCACTCTAACTCTCCCTAAGCTCTATCCCTCTGAGTTTGCATGCGGTAGTTTGGAATACATCCGGTTCTTCCAGCTATTCTTCAATCGTTTGCCTGGTAGCTAACCATGATGGTGTGGCTATCTAAGAGGGACGGACAGTCATCTACCCATATAGGTCCTCGCTCGGTAGGCGCGTTACAGCTCGAACTTTGGCTGGGGTAATGAAAGCTCTGTGTGCGAGGCCATGTCCTGTATCAGCACTGGGCGGGGGGTGGTTACTTACACCTGTTTTGTCTGAGTGCTTGAGTGTGAGGCTCATAATGCAGTTTTCAATCTGTGTACCGGCCAAACCAAAACACATGGCTCGCGGGTTTCCTCGTCACTTCCACTTTAACACACCAAACTGCCTAACAGATGATTCTGTAGCTCAGGGCAAAATCATGAGTAAATGTAACTGCATGCAGTGAGCAAGAGGGCCAAAATTAAAATCCAATATAGAAATCGACCTGAAGCGACATAACTACACACAATGAGACGTACACACGCAAGATTGACATGAGTACAGACGGCAGGTGCGAAGTATTCGTTAGGAATGTGCGGGAGTGCTTCCAACCGGGCATGAGCAAAGATGCTTTGAAGACGAATTATGGAATTGCTCTGTGGTGCCACTAATTTCTGATGGCATGAACATACTTCCTTGGTGGTTATAATAAATAGCCTTACACCTTGCACAATCTCGGTTGACAATTGATGCTTTCCTCTGAGTGAGTTAACCTCCGTTTACGAACTCGTTCCTTCTTGGAATGATCCTCGGCGGTTTTGTGATGCTGGTGAATGTCAGCGACCACTTACCACGAGCACATTTTGCCTAATTCTGACAGCCGGAATGGTTGGTTAGTTTTAATAAACAAAACATTACAGACAGTGCTTTTGCCTGCCATACGTCAATTTCACTTGAGAATCAATAGTGAGGAGTAAAGTGATTTCCCTTTATTCGTGCCCTTGCGTTAACATAAGGCAACACAACACAACTTAACACCAGGCAGCTGGAAGACACTTGTTCAGCTGGAATTTCTAATCACGCTCAAAATGTCTCAATGTAGATATAAAACGCCAATAAAATGATAGCTAATAATAAGATAAGTAATGTGATCAAACTCGGCTTGATGTCAGTTGTGGAAAATGTGCCACGAGATCTAATCATCCACACACTCTGAACAACACCTACTCATCCTGCACTTAAACACAGCCGAATTCT